GTAATTTCGATGAGGAGCTTACGCCGTTCCGAAACTGAACTAAAATTGGTAAAACAGACAGCCTCGAATCACATCCATCGTGTCCAACTGACATAATCGCATGCTTTACATGCTCCCACGATTTGCATGTCATTGTTGAGGACTGTATTGAAAACTGAACTAACTTTGAACCCACCCAATATAAGGTTGACGCTACCTAGTCCTGGAGTTACGTCAGAGATGAAATGGTCTTCTGTCAACATGATTGGCAGTTAGTTGAATTGAATGGTGAATAGTATACAAATCGCCTTTATGGCAAGAATCACATCTTAAGTGGTAGGTTGATATTTTTGGTATAGCAGTATAAGTTTGGTCGCACTTACTTGTTTTCCATATCGTTTCAGATCGCAAGGATTCCATTGGCATCCTTAATGGTCCATGTATATTCCTCAATAGTCATATGTGCTAAGCATGGTGCATAGTACATGCTGATGCCCTCCAGGAGCACTGTGTCTATGTTTGCAAAATCGCACGCAGCTCAATGATTTGGCGCCTTTGTGTGACACAGTTTGGTACTACTACGAATTCTAACGCTACGATGACTCCACGAGTTAGTGACCCCGTTCCAAAGGAATGCCTGTTGGAACGGCGTCGAGGTGTTCGTAAATAAAGTTAGCCTACTTCACACTAACTTATTTGTCCTAGTAAATTTGAAAATGAGACGAAAAAATCTTTTATCTTCGAAGCATTCTTAGTTAACGAAAGTAAACATACAAAAATGATTTTTCCAGGAATATTTCGACTCAACGCAAGTGTGAATAAAGGAAATCCATGTTCAGTGCCCTCCATATAATCCCACATCAGAGTACCTTTCAAAATCATCATGGAAATAGGACTACTGGTATCGATAAGACTTTAGTTGCATCAAATGATGCTTTCCGTGTCTGCGGTGGTGCTTTCGCAAAACAATAGTCAACTCTGATGGGAATGAAAGCCCCCTGATTTTACTATTGTGAATTCATTAGGCGATGTGAAGAAACACCCAATGGATTCCAATAATGTAATTTGGCTAAAAAGAAAGCTGTGCACATAGAATCTACAAGAAAAAACACCAGGACCATGAGCCCGGTGGCCATGAAAAATGCTTGAAAGTATCCAGCTAATGAAACAATAGTACACTGCTTTAAACTTACTAGCAAAACTGGGTAGCAAAAATCCAACCAATGATAAGAAAATTACCTCATACCGTGCCACCTAATCCCAATTCAACTTTGTTCCAGTTTAGGTTATCATCCATACATCTAACGAAAACAGAATTCAATTAGGTTGTTTGTAATGCTTGCCTAGGAATAGAGGACCCAGCAAAGATGAACCAGGAGTTCCATCTGCACGTCCCGCAGCCTTCTCATTATCTGACGCTAATGCGAGTGAGTTCAAGTAGTTTGCGCGGTGAATGTACCACCTCCAGTTTGCAGTCTAACACGCAAAAAGTACACCTCACATAAATCAAAACGACTACTCATCTCTACCGGCGTAATGTCGTTGGCACGATCGCAAGTAAAACTCAGCAAATACGCAAGCACGACCGAATCTACGCGTACGAACTCAGCCAGCGGGCCAGACGACGTACCAAAGTAGTTTACATCACGAGGAAACCAGTAGATTTATCCTTCCTGTGGCACAAATCGAAATGATAATCATTGAGAACGAAGGGGCGACAACAATCAATGCTGTCGAACATCATTATTCGACAGAAGAAACTAGGGTTAAGATTAATCTGAGTGTAAATAACTATCTATGAATGCCCACAATCAAGCTAAGCAGAGATATCGGTAGCATAAAGCGCATAAAGTGCAAATTACCTTGGAATAAGTGGTTGATTTATTGGAAGTGACAGATGCGTCAGTAAACGTAGTCTTCCCTTACATTTTGCGCAGTTCAATATGAAATTGGGTACGAGGATACATGGGAAAACAGGGGGTTTAGTAGAACAAGGCATAAGTACTTCAGATAAACTATCAAAAGAAATCTTTTTGATTTAGGGGAGAGACAGGAAGATAAGGGGCAGAAGGAATGAGGAAAAGGACACAGCCTGAAAACAAGACCAACCAGAAGGAGCGGCAGCATCTGTGAGAAAGCAGAGGGGGGATAACGATGATGAAGATACTGAAATGCGTAGCCAGGCGTCACCCACCTAATAGTACCGCCGCACCGGCTCCATGTAGTCACAGTCCTCCACTTTTGAAGAGCTCAACGTTATATCATTAACAACCTGCGTCAGGGAAAGTATATGTAATATTCATGAGTGGAAGTGTTCTAAGAGCATGCAAGGCGGCGATTCAAAGCTATACTGACCGAATTCCATTCGTTCCAAAGACTGCATGCAAGGCCCTCTAAGAGCCTAAGAAACCATGATCATACAGTAGACGCACATCATTCACAACGATTATTTTCTTAATCAAAGGCGTGTAAGCTCGTCCCAAAAAATGCCAAAATCGCAGCATAAGCGGAGATATTGAAGACACGTAGTATGAAGAGTACGAGTGCATCCACGACTAACACGCCAGGTGCTGAAGCCAACAATGTACCCATTCGAGTAGGAATGCACAAACCAAACTAAATGCACAGAATGTTGCTAGATTAAAAATCGACAAACGGGAGTTAAAGCCTTTGGAATGATAGTTGGCCGAATTAAAGTGAAGTGAAGCGTTAGTGAAGCTAGGAGACTTACGGCAAGAAGTCAAACTATGTGCGAAATCGGCTTGCTGTGGCCTAAATCAGAAGAAGTAAACCTACTAATCAAATACATATAAGGCTAAATAATGTCCAAATTAATTACGCCACGATTTTTTGTAAAATATGTAAAATCACCCATTTAAAATGACACCTAGTACCTCTGAATCAATGTCAGAGTCACCGTCGGAGACAATGTCTGGATAACGCTGTGGTGGGGGATTGCATATACTGGTGGAGAGATTTGTCATCGTAGAGGAGTAGCCGCCGGCGTGGGAGGAAAGAGGACCGCCGGCCACAGTGTTGGCAAAAGGGGTGCCATGGTGAGAACGAGATGTCTCCTGCAGGTGGTCATTGGTGGATGAACCCAAGAGTGCATCATAAGCTACGGAGGCGCTACGATCGTCTGGAGGGTTGGTTGTAACGGCGTATTCGTCCCCTTTTTCGAGGTCTCGTCTACTAGACCACTGGAATTGCTGTTGCGATTGGTGAACGTCTGAGGACAAATTCCTTGAATTTCAGGTAATATACTAATGAGATACTGAAATATGGCATGCACACTAATAATAATATTCTAAAACAATTTTGAGGCTTCTTGTATGAGATGGGAGAATCTAGCCTTACTTGTCAGTATCGGCGTAGCCCGTTTGTTCCCGTGGAAAACCGCCTAAAGTACAAACTGCAGGTTAGCTCTTAGAATGGATCAGAAAGGAACGATCACTAAAGGGGCAACTTTATATTCCTAATCATTTACTTAACAACCTTAAAACACAGCATCTCTGAGATAGAAGTTGATAAAATAACTCAGCAGAAGCTATAAAAGCATAAGTACCTTCCGTGAGAGTAAAGTCTAGTCCCTTAATTTTTGATGAGTTTGACTAGAGAATGAAAGTCAAAATGCAAAAATGGATTAATGAACCTAACAAGAAACAAGACGATGTAGAAAACAAAGATTCAGTGGAATCACCGTTGGGATGTGGATGGAGTGCAGAGAGGTGTACGAACATAAGCTCACTTGGTTGCCTTGTGGAATCGATAGAGTGAGGTGGAGACCGATTCTGGGGCCGTTGGTCCTTAGAAGTGACAAGAGTTCCTGACGATGGCGAGAAATTGTTATCAAGGTTTCCAGGAATACTGCCATTATTGCGAATTGGTTTGTCAAATTCACTAAAATTTGAATGGAACTGATTCAAAACCTAGAAAAACTTGTAAGTAAATCTTGTTGATTTATATGCTCATGGGTGTCAAACAATAAAAACCTCTAGTATCTTCGAAATAGAAGCAAAAAGTGGATCGTAAGTAAAGAAAAAACAAGGACGAATTCCGGAATTGTGATTAAAGAAAGAAAACCAACATGTAAGAGCTCAAAAAGTTAGGGCTCCACTTCTTAACTGCAAATACTACTAAGTAGTTAAAAACCCTAGATTTAGAGACAAGTATGTGCGTAAACACATGGTCAGATTAGAGGCGCAAAAATTCTAAATACACGGTAATAATTAGTGCTAATAAAAGGGGATGAGGCTTACTTATCCGAGTCCTGGTCCAAGACGACAGCTAGAGAGACAGAAAACATAAACATTGCCCACAAATACTAAGAAAAACCATGGGGGATAAATGAATTTAACAAAGCATATAAGCATGTGTAATTTAATGCGCGGTGAACTCGGGAGCCTGGATCAAGTGGTTAGCAAGAAGGACATAAAGGTTAAAAAAACAAACATGGGGATAGGTTTTTAGTGTTTATAAAACTAAAATGAAGCAACCTTTTGACAACTGTGGAGGTTCGATTGAAAGATTGCCAAACGAATCCATTAAGGCGGGAAGTACAGGAGATTTGTCGGAAATAGACGATAAACCATAGCGCTGAACCAAGTTCTCCCTTCGTTCTAGTTTGGACTCGTCCTAATAGCTCAGTATTTCCAACTACGGTGGAACTTACAAGTCCTGTTTCGTGCATAAGAACATTCAGAGTCTTTTTGAGCTCAAAAGACTGCAAGAAATCTACCAACAATGAGACAGCGGCAATGCCTTTCTAAACGTGTGTCTTTTCTGAAGTTTTATTACCGTTCTGTTTCGATAACAGCACGTTTAAAGGTGAAGGAGTTCGTTTGACAGGCTGTGTCGTTTGGCGATAAAATGCAGCATAAACGGCGGCACTCAACTGGTCCTAGTATGAAAACGATTATGCCATAAATAATGCACTTGTATTTGTTTAAGCGTGCCATCAGCCTTAAGCGTTTCAAGCAAGCATTCCTTAAGGTCAGAATCGTCACCATCAACCTCGGGACCAATCTCTGACATGCCGCCTATTCACACGGACAAGTGCTATCCGCACGAGAGGGACGACAGGGCCTACGGATTGATGACAAGGTCAGTGCTGCTCACATTTGGCAATATTTTCCCTCAAAAGGATTAAATCCCATTGTAATTAGACATATAGTAGTCGCATCACAGTTATTAATCGCCAGGGCGTCTTTGGCCTTTTAGCAGAATACTAGTTTCCAAAAGCTACTAATTGCATGCTTTAGACGTGGGAATACCACAGTTTCTATTTAGTATGCCGTTAATGACAATTTATGCTTAACAATAGTCTGCGACGTCCCGCGACTTTCATGAAGACGAAAGAGGACACAATACTTGAGAGGAATATATATATGCGACATACAGAAGGTATTTGGGCTACCGGCATGACCCGAAGGCCAACTGACCTGGCGTGGCACCGTAGCCAAGTCAAATGTGACTCCTCACCAAAACTGAGAGATAAACAACCACCATATTACAAGTCATGTGTTAATGGGACAAAAAATATCTGTTAAGTTCGAACACCCAGGCATAAAACATATTTCTGAAAACTAATTCAATGTCATTGTTTTTCAATGAATGAACTGCACAATATTAGAGGAATATGTTGGCTGTTTGTTTAACCCTAGGCTCTGGTTTCGGGGACCACTTTGGGTCCCCACTACTGCATCTTCGCTGGGTCGGCTGACCTCTGGGCCATGCCAGTAACCCCATCCCTTCTGTATGTGGAACACATATACGTTCTGCCTCCGGTGTTATGTCTTGGTGCGCTACAATTAGTGTAAGTAAGCAATTTTGCTAAATTTGTTTTGTAAATGCCTGATTTTGATTAAAATGACAGAGGCGATATTCTAAAGCACTAATACTGTCTACAACGCATTTGCCTAAATAAACTGGATCAAATCTTTTGCGAAGACAGTGGAACATTTGCATGATTTGCAAAAATTAAAAAAAGATTCATCTACCTCCCTTTCCCGACTTGATGAGCCCTAAACATGAATTCTCCAAGCGACAATTAAGGGATTACCTATGGCTAATTTTTGCTAACACCTAGTTTGTGCCCAGTTTGGATCCTAGAAAATTTGACATTAAAGAATATGAAGCGGTTCAAACTTATTTAATGGGTAACGTAAATATTTTACTTTGAAAGGAATATGAAATATAAATAACCGCAGCATCCCTAGTCTTTCTTGTGGACAAAAAAGACCTATTGACCTATTGACGTACAGAAGGGCTGAGGGCTACTGGGATGGTACGGAGGCCAGTCACCCGGAGGAAGTAAAAGGAGGAGGCTTAACTTCTCTCAGTACCAAAGCAAAGAGTTAAACAACTAATTCAATCACATTACTGTTTCTCGAATTCGGACCAATCGACTAAGTGAACCAAACAACAGCATTTGCGTGCATTGCTCTAGTAATTTATGGTATTTTATTTAACTTTGTGTTCATCTACAATATACCATGACAGTTCAGCAAAATCTCATTTTCGTTGTCCTATTACAAAGAATTCTGGATGAATGCGTTCATAGGCACTCATGACTACCTACTCTAGTTGATGCGACAAGGTGTTCAGGGATCAAGTGATTTCTTTTTCATCCCTGAAACTGTATTTTTTACATCCCATGCGGCCATAGGCTCACAGAATTAGTGATAAATCCCCTTGCGAACCCTCTTATACACCATGATGTCACGTTTAAACTGATTACCAAAAAACATTGGTGCCAGAGGTTTTTTACGAACAAATGATTATGATAGATGCTAACATAGAAACCAGTTACTAATTTGACATCTAGGCTTTACAAAAAATACGAATCTTGTGGTTCTTCTGGCATAATAAGAAGTTTCATCAAACTCGCGTTCCTATTACCTACTTTTGATCTCTCATCAGAATGTAGGGTTGCACACATTATAAATACGAGTAAATAATGGTACGAACTAATTAATTAGATGGAATCAGGACTACTTGTACATAAAATAGGAAACCATTGATAATTTTACCAGGATAAAAGGGAAATAACTCCAGAAAGCAAAAGGAAGTGTATTTTTTAGCCGTCAAATCGCCCATAATGAAGCACTCCCATCCTTTTTTGAGGACGTAGTACGACAAACCAATATAATTAGTTTTTTACTGTTGTAAAGCAGTGCGAAGAGGGTCTAGACCTGACCAGAAAAATATATTATCATGATGGGGGCACAGCTTGCGGAGGAAAACAAACCCACCTAGCTTAACATGCATTCATGCAATATTGGGCTATATCAATTATGATTAAAAAAGATAAGTAACTCCGTTTCAAATTCAGTAGTTCCGGATACCATCACTGACTTATTGCAGCTCTTATGGACATGCAAATACATGGGATTTTTCATATGCCCCTGATGTTCTCTCTACCATTTGAGTCATTTAGAACTCTCATGTAATAGGGTGTCGGTTGAAATCGACGGATGTGATTAGAAGCTGTCTGCTTTACCAGCTTAATTTCGTTTTCAAAGCTGCAAAAGCTTTTCGTCAGGGTTGTATAGTGTTTGGAAGGGATGTGGTAGCGGAGTGTACTACCAAGGAATGCTTGGGCCCCAGCAACGGATGGTAAAATATGCATCATGCTGGGACAGATACTCCATGCTTTACTGGAGTGGAAAATCGAGATGAACGCTGGAAGAACCTTAATTAGTGTTAAATGTGCGTGACAAAACATTTGGGTGACACCTACACCTATTGGCAAAGTAGTGTCAGAAACTAAAGAGGTGGGTGTCACATGCATCGGGAACAAATGCCAGTGACTTTTAAATTCTGTCAGTTTGTCCTTCACTTCACGTCAGAAAGGCCAACCGTGGGAAAATAGCCGTATGTGCCTCCTCCAAAAGAGGCCTATGCATCGAAATTAATAAAATATCATCAGTTAGATTTACATTGTTAGTTGGCACACTTTAAAGGCTCATAAGTAAAGTACTCGTAACGTCTATCTATCATTGGACCAAAACATAGACCAAGATTACCTCAACAACGTGCCATAATTTATCATCTCTATGTAAGATTTTTTGTGCCTATCTTACCGGCCTGCTGCAATTCATCCAATTCCTTTAAAGCGATGCTCACACTCTTTAACCTACCACATACTCCTGTCTTTAAGACGCACTTAAAAGTCAAAAGCAACGACTGCCGAGTGCCATATCACAAGCTGATGCCAATGATGGATGTGCACGCATACGAAGAAGAAGACTTTGGTGTGGAGAACCAAAATTCCACCAGTTTTGGCCAGAAGTTTAAGAAAGGATTAAAAGACAACCTTTTTACTATCCTAACACTTATCGGTGTGGCCATCGGCTTCGGCATTGGTTTTGGAGTGGGCACAACGCAACCCTCCAAAACGGCAGTCACATGGATTGGTGAGTGCTTTCCCCTCAACTCTACGCATTCCCCTCCCTATTCATCAACATTCTCGATTTCGTCCTTTTTGAAGAAATCATTTTATCTACTGTTCCATGCTCCTTTTTTATGAACTCATATTAGTTTTTTTTTTCCAAATTGAAGTATCCCTGTAATCTTTCCGTAATATATGTGAATTGCACAATGACATTCACATTTTGCAAGAGGAAAAATTAAATACAAAATCTCTATGATTTATGAGAGTCAAAAGGAGAGCAACAGTTTTAAAGTGGAAACCAGATAGGAGTGATAATTGTTTAATGCAAGTATCTACTTAATTCGTTTTTAAAATCTGTAATTCTGTTATTCAGAAATGCCGGGAAAGATATACATTCGATTGCTCCAACTCACTATTTTGCCGATCATTGCCTCAAACATCATTGTTGGTAAGATTTTTGTTTACCGACTGACTCGATGGATAGTAATCTTTTTACACAGTATGAGGAGCAAAGCTCTATTACTTAGCTATTGCAAATTTTAGTTACGGGAGGGATTGATCCCCGAAAAAACGGCAAAATGGGATTGGCCGGACTCCTGTTCATACTCGGTTTTGACATTATCAGTGGCGCGATTGGTGTCATTATTGCCGTTCTCATTAAACCGGGTGAGTTTTTTTATTAAAGAGCGTGACTACCAGAAAAAGATAATTTCATCACAAACTACCTAGCTGATTTTGCAATTAGTTCATGGGAAATAAGCTGACAAAATTCGTGCTTTTTGATGTACCGCACATTTTGCTCAGCCTCATAGGTCTTAAAATCAAGCAAAACCAATTTCTCAAGGTTTTTATATTTCTATTCATCCCAAAGAACTATGTGAAATACATTAAGTCGCACGCTTATTTACATTTTTCTTGTATTTTTTTCCCATTTTTTCCGTCTATCTCAATGCCGTCAACAGACCTTTTCCGTTAATACTTCAGGTTTGTCAACGTCAATTTCAGTGAATGAAACAGTGGAAGAACCAGGACCGGATGATGCTCCTGTTTTGACATCTGACGTATTTGCGGATCTCTTCTTGTTAGTAACTACTTTATCTAATTTTTGTAGAATGAGACTGCAATGCAATACTTATCACCATATTTCGATGACAGGTTTCTTCCTTTGCTCCCAAGAACTTTGGTCTCATTTTCGCATCCATTGACATACGTAGTTGATGTGGCTTTGAAATTATTGGGCTGTTTTTATCTAAAAGCTTTCGCATAAATCACGGTCAGAGCTCTACAGCTAAGTTTTAGGCATGAAATAACTGAAGACGGCTCCCTTGGTATAAAGGGTGCGGTGTTGCATGATAATTGCAATTTAGAGCAGTTTATTGAGGAGGTAGTGCATATGGTTGCTTATATATGCCATTTGAAGTAAAACGAAAGTAATGCGGATTATCAGTAAAACTGTATCCATCTGTCAATCTGATAAATCAAATCAGTAAGAGATTATTTTTGTCCTTTCTAGAAATATGTTCCCAGACAACATAGTTGGTCTTACACTCTACCAGGTAGGTCTTTCCTGATATACTGATTGGCCCTATACTCTGCTGAAGTATTGAGATTTCTTCCAATGTTTTCATAATTTAATGCATGAAATAAAGTAAGTTCATTCTGACATTTTATGATGCCAATCATGTTACAGCACGATGATGATTAAGAAGATGTTTCGAAAATTCCTCTCCATTTCTTGCAGAAGGAAGCTGAACTGACACCAAAGTACTCACATACTTTGTTCTTGCTGGTTTTATTGTCTTCACACAGCTTCCTCGTTGGATTAAGCAGATACCTATTAAATAAGCTAGTTTATACATTGTTTTGCTGTAATAGATATTGTGCTGAGACAAAATAGGCTTGAAATGGGAGTAGGTGATTTCTTGGACGTTTGAATGACATACAAAAATAAGGGTGGAAAAGAATTTACGCATTTGCACTGTCACAGACAAAAACCATACGTCGGTGGCCCTATTTTCCCGTCAAAAATGTTACGGAATCAGCAAGTACCCGCCTTGAATCGACCGATATGATAGGTAAGTTGCCCAATCGTGTCAAGCTTTCATTTAAAAGTTCTGGTAAAGAGCTAATTGCTTTCATCTAGATTTGTATCACTACCATTTCAGGTTTCTGAATGACTGGCTATTTTCAAAGCAGAATTTAAGATAGTTTAAAATAAAAGTAATGATTATGAGATTATTTTATTGAATTACGAAGAAGAACATTTTGAGAGGTGCATTAATAACACTGAGTCAAGATGTAATTAGACTTCGTACAAACTGACCAAGGGGAAGATGCACTTTGAAATGATAAAATACTGAGTCACGCGATTTTGCACCCACTATACCTTCGCTTACAGGACTCATATTCACGACGATAGCTTTTGGCATCGCCGCTGGGGCTGCTGGCGAAGCAGGAAGAGTTTTCATCGACTTCTTTGAGTCCCTTGGCAACGTTGTTCTCATTCTTATGCGTTGGTTCTTGCAGTAAGGTCCTTTAAAGATTAAACCAAGTTGATTAATGCTACATTCATCAGGTTCTTCATGGTCGGCTCGAAATTATAAAGCCCAATTGATTTTACTTCCTTTTATTAAACCATTTCATTCTATATTGACAGTAGTGCTACTTCTATAAACTGCAGTCTTCAAGTGCATTTAATATTAAAAATGCTTGGTTATAGGATTACACCGGTGGGCGTTTGCTTCATGGTTGCGGGGGCTGTTGTGGATCTGAAGGACGTATCTGGCACCTTCCAGGGCCTTGGTCTCTTCATGGCCACGGTGTTGGTGGCACTGGCTATCCACATGCTTCTGCAAATGGCTGTCTATGCCATTGCTTCCTTCCGCAATCCTTTCCGCCTCATCATAATGGGTTCCCGGGTCTTCTTCCTATCCTTCATCACCACTGCGCCGTGAGTTTATCTACCTCTCCCCAAACTTTGCAATATCCCATATACGAGTAAATGTGTGTGCATTTTTGGCTTCATTTTAAAAATAGCGTGTCATAATTATAAAACAGAATGAATTCGTGCACACAAAACCCTCCGGTCGCATTCGTCACAGAGTTCACTACAAAATTAACAATTCCCAATGAAAGCTGAAAAATTTATGCTATCCATGCATAAACAACGACCTAGTTAGTCATGTGAAGGTCATCTGTCATAGTTACCCTTAAAAACTTTACCAAAATTCACCACTTTTTAAGATGCTACGACACTGTTAATTTAGGCGGAGGTTTTGCAATAAAGAATATCTGCACATTATGTATTGGATTGAGTCGACTAAAATGCTGGAAAATTTCTAAAATGCTTCACATCTACCTACTATCCACAAATCAAAAGAAGAATTTTCAATTCTTCTATTTAACTCGGAAGTAAGTGGCAATTAATTTTGCAAACGAGGAAAGCAAGGGTCAAACTAAGGTCTGTAAATTAAAAACACTTGTTCAGCATTCAACTGGCCGTGAAAATAGTCAGTGGTTGTCATGCGAATACGACGCATGATGCAAATTGCATTTCCTTGGACGTAAATGTGAAGTTTGCTAAAAAAGTAAAACCCAGTCAGTCAGCCGTTAATAATCACAATGCTCTTTTAGAAGAACTGAATTAAACCACCACTTTGCCTAGCATGACTGCTGACAACTTTAAAAGGTGATTGTAATTGTTAAAGAAAGGAAAACCATTTGATATCAGTAAAGCACAGAATTGGCCTTTATTAACATCATAATGCTTCCAACCTACTCAAGTACTGGTGACTACTGACACCTTTTCAGGGTGATTGCCATCCCTGAAATGATCGACACCTGTGATCGCTATGGACTGCAAAAGAAGATCACTCGTTTCGTCATCCCCCTCTCCACCGCTCTGAAAGGCGACGCCTCGGGTGTGTTTCAAGCCGTGGCCTGTGTCTTCATAGCCCAACTCACAGGTTTCCAGCTGACTGCTGGAACCTATGTGCTTATTGCGTAAGTTACAATGGCGTTCTCTGCAGGCATTGGTTAACAATTCTTAGCTTCACTTGAAGGGAGAAGTTAATGTAAACTTACTGGAATGGAGTGCCTTAATTCCACTTGAGAGTGATTTGTTATTTTTGCTTTTTGGCTATTGGTAAAAGCTTCAAGCATTTAGTCCAGTTCTTGCTAAAAAATTGCCTGTAGTCATTCATCATTTCACATTAATTAATCACTTTCCAAGCCCATATACATTAGTTTCAAAATGAGAATATTCACCATCATTAACTAAGAGTACCTTTATGTATGCATTGGTATGAGGGAGCTTCATTTAGCGATTAGGCAAATTGAAAAAGACAACCTTATAGCTATAGCACGCTCTCATTGATTTAGTCTCTTGACCGGATTTGCGACTCTTGCCATTCCCAACATCCCAAGCTCGAGCATCGTCATCATCATAACAATTTTATCGTCGATTGGAGTTCGAACCGGAGAGGTCTCTCTGTTGTTTGCAGTCGAGTGGCTCATGTAAGTCACTTTGTCCTTCCATTCATGGCCTTAATGGTCGTTTACGTACTCAGAACCTATTTGTGGCATGAAAACATTCTGCCTCCCTTAAGGGCCAATAAGAGGCATATAGGTATTGCAATTCTTATTCCAAAATATGACGATCTGCTACGAAAAAAGCCTTAGATTATAACTGAAGTCACACTAGAAAGGATAAAACGAACTGCTAATTTCTTCAAAAGTTCTTAAATACAAATTCAGTTCCCGTTCTCACGAAAATAGATAATCATATAGAAAGCGGTTATTGGTGTTCGTACACTATATCCGCGGAAATATTGTGCCACTTCGACTTTGGGAAAAACTAATTATTGTCATTGAATTAGAGGTTAAAGCATCCGGCACTTTGGAGTGAGTGGTTTTTCATAAATTAAGGCTGAGATTTTCAGCTAATAAATTACTTATTCCCCAGGTATTAATAATGACTAATCCTTGTAAATTCATTCATAAGTCTATGAAAAGAGCACTAGTTTGACCTTTCAGCTTAATGGATGCTATATCTGACCCTTTAGGGATCGCTGCCGTTCGGGTTCGCTTGGTTTGGGACACTTGTTCGCTGCAGCGTTTACGCATTCAGTGGCCGTGGGAAAGCGAACAGAAGGTGAGGTCGACGAGGAAAACGAATTGCACGACTTTGATGAGGACGAATACCAAGTCGAGAAATCGGATTGATTTAGACCTTTACTAAGTGCTAAATCCACATGGCTTTAACCGTATCATAAATGTAATTCGTGCCTTCGTGGTTTGTTGCTGGAGGAAGCAGCGTCTTAAAAATGACCATATTTGGTCATTACATTATTAAAATAGACAGATTCTTAAGAAGATTTGTTTAACTATAAATTTAAGATCATGCTGTCGTGCTTGTACTCAAGGTGACTGTGACGTAGTCAGGATCCGTAGACCTGTTGTGGATTGATGCAAAATTGGCATTAGTGAGTACGAGCGATGAGACGAAGCCCGCACTTTTAGGTTGTTTGCGTATTACATGACGAAATTGTTGTGAATGCGCATTCACGACCTATCGTATTCTATTTATCTTCGATGTCAAAGAAAACTTCACCGTACTATTGGCATAGAAACCACTTATAAACTACCTTTTTCCCAAACAGCAAGACACCATTAAATAACTTAGTGGGCACATATGAGATTACAAGCACGACCAATTACGTCGACTTCAAACTCATTTTTAAGCCAGTTTTGCCTTTCCACAAAATGAATTTAAAAAGTTATTTCACTTATAGAGCAAACGGAGTCACCCAATATAATGGAATTCAAGACGTGGGTGCCCTTTTTCTAGCTAAGTACCTTTCATCCCTTATGAACGCGAGACGCGGTTGCGCCGAAAGTAAAAATACGAACTTAAAGCGCTTACGAGGGGAATGAATTTAGAAAACCGTCAACAGCTGTAAATGTAGAGTTTTAATGCAGATGAACTTGTAAAAATTATTCAAGCGTGGGGTGAAGCCACACGCAAACACCAATTGCTTCAATGCCGCGTAATGGAAAGCCGGCGCTAATGACGAAGGACGAAATGCACAAAACTGCCGCACCACTCTGCGGTGTTATTCAAGGCATAGTAAATCCCAGTTTAATCACGGAAACTTTATCCTGTCTAGAAACCGTATGTGAGCACCTCTGTCAAATTAACCTGCATCACGATGCGCCCGAAGCTTAATGAAAAAAGCGACATGCCGTAAATTAAGAAAAAGAACTAAAACGAATCTCCGTGACCATTATTCTTAGGGCCTAACAAAACAAATAACCCGTGTATTGTGGGAAAGATTGAAATTTCAAGAAATCCCAATTTCACATATTTGTTATAATAACACCGAAGTCTACAAAGTAGTTGAGATGCCCATTCAGAAGCACTGATCGGTTCTACCACTTCACCCACTTTCGTTAGATGAGAGCATTTTAGTGAATTGCATCAAAATTCTGCATCACAGTTTTAGTTTCTTGTATAATTTTCTGCTAAAGTTATCCAGTGACATGAACAGCTCTGAGTAGGATATACGACTGGAACTCCCCTAAGAGATTACCGGTGAAATCGATTTTGTAAAATGCAAAGAAAATATAAATCCGAGAACAAAGCTCAAGTGAAATTTGTTTATGGAAAAATTGAATGGAAACTGTAACGCGCGCATTGAAGTTTTTAAGAGCTACCGCCTTCCACAACATTCGATTAAGGAACTCTCTCTCAACCAATTGGGGATAAATCTGGCAATGCGACATCAGTTTTTACAAAGCTGCAGCGTGTTGCGGTTGGAACAGAGGTGCATAATGCATTTTTGAGATCGCAAAGTCGAAGCGTGAATTGTCAAATTTAATAAAAATTAAATTTCAATCAAATTGATGACAGGTTGCATATCTAAAGCTGATTGAAGAGGTTAAGTCAAACAGTTTTGTTTCTCTTTACGAGATGAAAACAGTTACCGACACCATTGTGTCTGGAAAAATGATGCAACCTTGCAGTCAGTTACCGCCTTTCAGCTGCAATTCAAAGATGAATCAGTAGAAAGCACTTTTATTTGTTGGCAGGTACCATGCTTTAACTTAATATGATCCAACATATATGGCATCTCCAAAATGGACAAAACATTCTGCAAAAACTATGGTGACAAGTAAACTAAAACTAGTAAAAGTAATTATATGCCTTTTCATTTGATAAGAGCCCTGAAAAACGGTGTACTGAAGCAAATTGAGAACTGTATCATTCATTAAATTGTTTCCTAAACTAGCAATATAACTGAAAATATAATGCAAATTTTTGTCCCAGAATGTGCCCAATACCAAAAATACGCATAAATACCTACCAGAATGTATCAGAATGTGCTCCAGATTGAACAAATGCCAAAAAACGCATCTTTAAAAAAGATTACACTTAAGATCTCGCAAAAGCAGAATAAGCCTTTTAATTATCACGAAACTTTGTAAGTCTAAGGTAAAATAAATTTGTATAAAACGATGATGCATCTTTAAAAGCATATCCCTCACCATGCCTGTTACGGTTATCATAAGTAAACGTGTTCCAGTGTAAACGAAGCGCTGGAAGTCTTGTTCGGTTTCCTGCGTCCGCTGCTAGATGAATGTCAATTCAACTCATGCTTCATTTCATCCGCAATGCTTGACTTCACTGTTGGGGCTTTCAAAGGCGGATTGGAGAATGTCTGGACTGTTTTCATGGTAAATGCTGTTAATTCCACACCATCAAAAAGGTTGGATTAACTTATTCAAATGTGATAGATAAACCCAAAACTTAATTTCCTCCGCACAGAACTGCTTATAAGTGCAAAGGAACCATGCATGGTTCAAAAAGCTGGAGTCGCGCCTACATTACTTACACCTACTCGAAAAAGAATCTTAAATGTCTTCTGAATAAGTTTGAGGGCGTCTTATCGGCTGAATAGGTGAGTTTCCTATTTTTTTTTTCATAATTTAAGCTGAAAAATGAATTCAGCCTTGTTCGAACTCGTCTGCTTAACTCCAAGTTTCAACTGGAAGTTAGAATTTTATTTTATTCGCTACCTGGATAAAAGTGGGTCACGCAAGAAAGAAAAGGCTTGCTTTTTTAAAAAATCAAACTGCATGGGGTGGGAGACTTTTGTCCTTCCGTCTCCCCTAGTTTATTTTAAAGACTAATTGATACCTGATCCCTTAAAGAATATTTGCATTCGGGATCTGCTAGTGAGATTCTTAACTTCCTGCACTGAACTTTCTGTTGCAATTCTGCTTAGGTTAAGTCATCAATAGTTTCTTGGAGCTTTTTGTATTTATCTCCAACGTTTCCCATACTGAGAAATTGTGATGCATGTTTAGATGTTATTTGAAAACGACCCATTTTTAAAAAAAACCAGAGCTTGAAAATAAGCTGATTAAGACTTAGAATTAACTTATTGATGCAACTTTAATTCAGATATATGAGAACAAAAAGTAGTGCAACTGAACTACCGAAGACGCAGAATGTTTAGGCTAGCTGTTTATCCAAAAGCTCCAAATTTTTCCCATCTGAAGCATCTAATTGGTATTGCAAAGCTTTCATGTGACCAGTGTGTTCACGTTCTTCATACTCTAACCGATAAATTTAGTCATCTTTAGAGCGTCTACAATAGGGTTTAGAAAAAACGTGTAAATAGTCAAGTATGTAACCATTGAGACCTGAAGGAGCCTCCGGTAAAATGAAAAAAATTCGTCTTACTAAATAGCTAAAAAACGGAATCCTTCAGAAATTTCCAAAGAAGCCAGCAATCGGTGAGTTACGAATAATCCTGACGTAAATCAAACACACCAGCGACTATTAGCTCTTCTATTGCCAGCAAAATCTGCACCTACTATACTTATAAAAGTAGAATTGAACGATGGAAATTCGTGAGTTCGGAGCATACTGAGTGGTGCCCAATAGTTCATGGAATAAAAGTAGTACAAGGTTTGAAAAGTACTTCCCTTTTATAACCAAATGTTTGGTTAAGCAAAACTTCTAAATGTATTTAGAGTTATCAAACAACGCCGGGTCATTAAGTAGGATAAAGTAATTTTCGTAACATAGATGAAATCATATGCGTAAATGATACTTAAAAGACCACTTAGATACGCTTAAAAACCCTATCAAACGTTCCAAAACACCATATGGCTCGTGATAATTTTGGTTCGAGACCTACAAAAGTAGTCAAAATGGATTCCTTGGTAGACATAGCTCTCTGAGACTTCTCCAATGATGAAAGAAGACATGACACTAGAGTAGAATTTGTATATATTTGACATACAGAAGGAATTGGTGCTACTGGCAAGAACCGGAGGCCAGCTTACGTGGCAAATGCACGAGGGCGGAAAACCAAAGTGACTCCTTACCAGAAGTGTGTTAAACAAACAACTAGAGTATTACACAACCCCACCCTTATTATGTGTGTCATCTCCAGGGCTCCCTTTGGTCATCTTCCTGCGTCAGCCATTGCTAGGCAATCGGTGCTGTAAGAAAACGTCCACAAGCCAAAGATATCAGCTATCGAATTTTCATGAAACTGAGGAGATACTTGACCACAGTGTCACTGATCGCTCTTGGTAATCCTACTGGATCTAAATTTTCGTCTAGTATGGGAACTGATTTCGGGGACAGAGTATGTACTGGCCACATGCTTGTCCATAGATAGTTGCGGAACACTGGATGAAAAGCATCGTTACGCAGTTTTGTGAGGATAGAGTTTATGTGTAAGACGCTGGTGGTTTATTCCTCGGTATTGGTGAGGCGCGACTTTTAAACTTCTGAATTTGCCTTCTTGTATCTCGCTGGATGGGCTGGCCTCCGGGCCATGCCAGTAGCCCGGACAACTTCTCTATGCTGAATGTATATATTCTGCCCGAGTTTTGTGTCTTCTCTTGTCTTCAGGGAAGTCTCAGGACGCTACATTGGTGGCAGAGAAAGGTGAACCCGATCCTAAAGGACAGGTATCCTGTTTTTCACTTCTGCGTGACAAACCTTAGTGGAGCGGAAGAAGTACATATGCTACGGATAGGAGAATGGTAATGATATCTAATAGGATGGTTGAAGTTGACGTCTACCTTCGGTTTCTATCCCAGTCCCGTGTTCTGCAGAAAAGCTATTAACAACTGAAGCGATACTAGCCGTGAACCGTCTGGAAATTTCGTTACAGACTTCCCCTACCCTCTGAAGTGGGAGCAACGTGGCGAGGAAGAACAAACTCGAAACCCCCCATGGACCTGCTAGTGTTCCTACATTTATCCATGGACAGGCATAGTGGCCAGCATAATTCCCCATTCCTGAATCAAGTTTCCAAACCGGACGAAAGTCAAGATCTACTTAAGTTGCTAAGAGGGATCAGTGACGTTGAGGTTAAGTATGTCCCCAGCTGAAAGCTAATTTGGTGACTGGCAGGGCCGGGTTGCGAGTGTTTCTTTACAGCACCGACTACGTTCTAATGGCTGACGCGAGAAGTTGACCTTCGGGGGCGCCAAGGATGACGCTCAAAAGAGGAAAGAGGCTATGTAATACGATGCCAGTTTATCCCTCGCGCCATACCAGTAGCCCAAACACCCTCTTTATGCTGAATATATATGTCCTGCCCGAGTATTGTGTCTTCTTTCGTCTTCAGGGAAGTCTCGGGACGCTACATATGAGCCTGTTCCTTGCTGTCAGTTTGTTCTCACTTCAGAGCTGCCCAGCCATATCTATCTAGAGGAGATGTCGAGTTTTCATACATCTGATATCTTCTTACTGGTATGGTAAGCAGCTCCATAATAAAACTTATCTGGATGATATATGACCAGTGTCATTTCCGTTGTCAACCTTTCCTGCGGAGCACGGGACCGGAGTAGTATCTGAGAACAAGCGTAATTTCTGGGGTTTCTGTAATGGGTCGTCACTGATTCTCCTATCTATGGCATATACTCACCTTCCACCCAGCTGAGGATTTTCACCCAGAAGTAGGAATAAGGATAGATGTGCTTTAAGATAGTGGGTGGCTACTAGTTTGCGTTTTGTATTTTTGAGATACACCACTGATAAAGAGAATATTTTTTAAATAATTGTTCGATGCGCCCTCAACTAAGCAAAAGGAGGTACAATGTAAATTTTGTTTTAACTACCTAAGAAGGAGCAGGATGGCTGGACCCAATCGACTTTATCCCCCGTGTACGTGCTGGCCGGTTGTCGAGTTGTCTTTTCACGCGGCACTCTTGGCTTTCTTTCATAAGTCTCATGCCCCATTCCCACTACTAATTAGTTTTCGAAGTTTTGTACTGCCTTATTTCTGAAAGCTGCTGTCTCTTCCGTGTTTTTACGCATCTATATCACTTTCTACCTGAAGGTATGTCACGCCAAACATTGCGCTTGCGTAATTCTCCACTTCTTTCATTTGGGCACTAATCGTTCACACTGTATGTTTGGTACCATCATTTTCAAACTACGGCATTCCTTAGATTTTAGTGTCATGTATAAGTGATGTTAAACTGCTCGGAGCTACTTATGCGGAAGTTTGTTATTCTACCTAGATAAGTTCGCTTCACACGGTCATGTTTTTAACCGATCTCCTTTATGCTTATCTTTTGCAACAACATTCTCTTAATTTGTTGAATTATTTCCTTTAGTAATTAATGAGCCTCAAGAACGCACTGCGCGAGTTGTCATTACCTCTGGATGCGGAGGAAATCAATGTTAAAAAGACGAGAACAAAGAAGGAAGGTATCCTTTATCAGCGCAACATACTTTAGAGTCTAGTTGATGGGCGCAAGTATGGACAAGTTAGACTGCAGAGGAATCAGCGTCATCAGCAAAACTCAAGGAAGAATAAGTCATGGAAACAATTTGTCTCCAGCGTTGGTAAGTTCGTGTTGTCTTCACCTACATATTGGTTCGTAAATGAGCAGCCTTCTTTGCGAGGTTGTATCCTTCGAGACTTGGATTTTTGCTGCTTACCAAGGCCCTTGCTTCTTCCATGGTTTCACATCTGTTCATGATAAGGAGATTCACTGCACATTTTCTTGTATTTACTTATTGATCTTTCTACCTATCTTGGAAAATCGTAATAGAAATCACAATACAGATTATGTTTTGAACTAATTGTAGCGTTAGTGATTAAATGTAATCATTGTATACAATGCTTCAGCCGTTAATGACTTTAGGTTTAAAGGCTCCAAAAAAACATAGCTCAAAAGAGGTGACCAGGGGAAGCATTGGACCGCGCGAGGACTTGGTGAACCTGGGCAAATCGATACTGCGCTCCCGGCGAAAGCTGCTGGCTCCTGGACCGCCGCCGCAGGTGCAGCCAAAGCCCAAGAGTCTTTTCCAGGAGAAAGACTTCAAGGAACTCAGTCAAGATTTGCGTACTTTGTTTTGTTCGTAATTGTGATGGGTTGCAAATACTGTACAGCTACCTATACACAAAGCCTTTCATGTTTACTGCTGAGCTGGGTCTGGTGAGGTTAAACTGTCATCTTCAGAAGACCTAGGCAAAGTTGGAACGAATCATGGGATCAGGTTATGCACGTCCTGGGCATTACTGTACAGCCATCGTGTAGTCTTATTTGCAAAGTGGCTATTTCTGTGTGAGGTTAGACGAAATAATCTACAGGTACATGTTTGCGTGGCGTGCACAATGACTTTGGTTTGTGCCTAGGTAACAGTAGCCTAACAAGTTCATGACTCGATAAACCGGTGAACGGTCTGATCCGCCTTTTAAAGAAGTACATTTACATTGGGGTGAAATTAGCCTCAACGGCGTTTTTATCGAGTGCGCGCATAAACCCAGGTAGTGGTTACATGTAGATCGTAAGCTAGGTAATGGCTTGTCAATGGGAGAGTTAGCGAAGATGGGCTTACGGTCGCGCACGGCGGACCTTCCGTTGTAGTTGCATCAGGAGTGGGGGGAGTTTGTCAGCGGAGGCCTCTTCTGGTGTCCCCTGACTTGACCGCTTTGGGTGGCGTAAAAGTAGAGTACGTCAACGATTGACCGAAATAAATATGAATTTATCAGCAATCATAATACTAAAGTGACGTTGACTACCGCCTGGGTCTATCCTTGTGTCTACTTGGTTGCAGTGTTGGAGACACATTCTCTTTGTAGAAAATCGTGATGCCGGTGAGGAGTTTACGCGCACGGTGTTCTAAGCCTTTTTGATATTAGTTTGAAACTGAATTATTAAAACGTCACAGATCAAAGTTGGTCAGTAAAGTACGATGGCTGGCCACCATCGATGTGTGGTTGCTTTGAGGCTTAACTTTCAGATTAGTCAATAGAACTGTGTCTTTTTAATTATATGAACCAGAAAAATAAAGGTGAGGCGTGCAGCCACAGACCTCGAAATAGATCTTCAGATCGGAGATCATGGCATTGTGTTCCATCACGATGTTCTTGGTGCAGTCGTAGAGTCTGCGCAGCTTGCTTTCCAGTTTACGCTTGGTCGTTTGGAGGTCAGTGATACGGGAATCCCGTGCTACAAGTGCGGACGCCAGGCAATTCGTTGGCTTATCTGTGTTGGCTAACAGTTCAGATAGGCGCTTCACTTCGTCTTCAGCCGTCTAAAATATTCGGCGTCGAATGGTAAATGTCCCGCTTCGGATTTCCACTAAGTCAATTGAACTGGATGTGGTTGATTACACCATGTTGTGTACTGATTCGAATTACAGTTATACAAAGTAATGAACAATCTACAGATTGAGTTTGACTCAAATTATATATTCTACGCCTCCAAAGTCTCGCCTATCTTATACTAGTATAAATGCTAACTTTAAAATCTTGCGCCGCAGCAGAGAACTTTAGATACGAATTAGTAAATGCTTCTTAGTAATATGAGTGGCCAAAGTTTGTAATAATTATTGTATCACGTAGAACTTATACCGTAGAGGAAAATGGTAGCAAAAAAGAGAGAGGACGTGGCGGGAAATGACATCTGATTTGGAAGACCCCATACTTTTGTGTAGTGTAAGCCATTGTTCTTGACGGAATGTGAGCAGAATCGAGTAGGCCTTTAGCATTAATCCATAAAATACTAAAACGAACCACAGGGTTGTGCTGCTCACCTCTGTCACAAAAGTGGGATAAACTAAGACAGACATCGAAACAAGATTAAAATAAGGTAGGCCATAAAGTATGCTGGCTGGATAATATCAATTAGCTGGCAGTTCTAGTATCAAAATAATGCTTCCAATGCCGAGAGCTCAGTAGAAGTAGAACAAAGACCAAAAATCTACAAGGAACATCACCGATATTTAAACTGAGACAAATTTGTAACGCATTCGGATACTACTCTGATGACCCATCATTAGGAATATGCGGCACGCACTCAAAAACCGAATCAGAGTCAGCAGCGCATTAACTAACCTTTCCACTTCACGTAAAAACTCACTTTGCTAGATTGCATTCTTTACGACTCAGATCCTACCGCTCTAGCTTTTTATTCCTTCAACTCTCACAACTTTAGGCAAATTATAGACACATTGGGGGGCGGTCAACATAACAGCTCCACCTTAAGGTTCATCCGCAGTTCTTTGTTTTCAGTCTCAAGGGAGCGCCGCACCTCTTCAGATTTGGCAAGCTGACGAGAAATTTTGACACAGTGCTCTAAACGCCTCGAAGCCAGAGTGGGAAGCAAGGGCTTTCCGTCGCTTTTCGACAAGCTAAAGTGGTGAAGCAACGCTTCCGAGCCCTCCCCCTTCTCCATCATCCCAGTGGACGCGAAGTTCTCGATAGCTCGGTCCAACTCCGCCTCAACCTGTTCATATGCTGCTAACTTGCGCGAGGCCACGGCCAACTGCACTTCCATTCGAGACAATTCCGCTTTTCGTGAGGCGTCCATCTGGATTTGACAAGAGAACAAGCCTTCTTTCATGTGTATATACTCAATAAGATTACTCTAGAGGTAAGACTATCCGGATAATCCTACATTGTGAACCAAAGTGGTTGCAAAATCACACTGACATTTTCTGCAGATCAGTTATTAAACGCTCCTCATTTACATGCCCACCCTAACTAGTCTTTCCCTAAACTCAGTTTGCCATGTACGTAACACCATATCTATTAAAACAAGAAGTAGCTACTACTGCCTCATGTACACTGAATATCGACAAAGTTGCTAGTAAAAGGTTTCGCAACGCAATAACTTTTATTCAAATTTGCCTATCAAAGTGGTCAAAGTGGAAAAACAAAGCAAGTAATCAATTAATCGATAAGTATGCGATAATACAGACTTACACAATCTTTAGTTCGAAAAAGATTGGTCTGGAACCAAATTTTCCTGCAAAACTACAGCCAGTTTTTAAAACACAGCTTAGTTAATCCACCAATCCATATAAGCGTTGCTTTTTGAAGCAGAAAATAAATGCCAAAATATTTTGTGAAAAAGTGAGGATTCATATGAAAAACCTCATAGATAGCTTTTGAAGCGGCCTCAAACTTTGCATTCAGTCGCTCCACTTGACGAAGGGCATCATTGCGGGCAGCGCAGGCAGCATTCAGCTGTACTTCCAAACTGACAACACGTGTCTTCGTGAGGATATCGGGCCGGTGACTGAAAAGACGAAGCTCATGATCAGGCTTTGTATAGAGACTAGGCACTTCTTCTCGGAAACGCCTCATCTCCATTTCAGTATTCTGAAGTCGCTGATGTAGTGCGTTCTGCTCCCTACGAAGGTGGTCCAACTCATTCAGAACCTCGACTCTTTCTCCTTCTAGACGAGGTTCTGATTTCTGGGTCAAAAATGATAATACCATGGCCTAAATCGGACTGTCTACTCAAATTTAAAAAAAATGTTTTCTGTTTCTCTTTGCGGACCTCATAATATCCTATCTAATACCATGTATAACGTATCCAAAAGGAGCACCTTTTAAAGCAAACTTTGTTGATCGGAGCATACACGTAATTTCACAATCGATGTCAAACGCATCGAACAAGTTTAATGCTACGATAAGCGTAGAAACATTAAACTAACCTTTGTAGCAACAAAAGGTCTTTTAAGTAATGTGAATTTAAGACAAATTTGCAACTGCCCGTCATTTTATTGACAGCTTAACTCGGGACGTTAGTAAAGGACAGCGAGCTCTTGATCTTAAGCATGTTCACGATAACGTTCATTCACTAAATACATAAGAACAGCATAGAGGCACAAAAACTAATATTAAATAGAAATATCGTCCCACAACTACCACATCTAGGAAGACCTTAGTAGCACGAAAAAAGCATGGGAGATTGTAAAAAATGCAAATTACGCACATATAGTTGTTCGAAAGGACCCATGGACAATCCGTTTCCACGTGATTCCTGAAATATACTCAATTCATCTTGCAAAGTTTGTTGCATTTTTTCTGCTTCTACAGCCCTTGCTGGTGCAGCTGAATGCTCATTCTTGGCTTTCATCAACTCCTCCTTCAGTTCCTTATTTGTTTTCTCCAGTGCTTCATATTTTTCCAATAACACAGAAGGCTGCTATCAATAAACCAAACAGCATTCACCAATGAAATCATCTGTGAAGCAACCAAATTAGGTGCACTGTTGAAATAAACTATATATATTTCCAGACTACAAGCAATACCAGAGTATTCGTCGTTTATAATTTGTATTTGCTGAAGCTATTAAGTAATAAAATGCATACCAAATTTAACTGTAAAAAAACTTGTTTAAACACAAAAAAGTAACAAAATCTTTTTGGTTAATTGCAAACACACCTGTTTATTAAGATCACTGTTATCCCGTCCCACAAAGGATATCTGTTTTCCAAATGATAAACCTTCATTCTTGATAAAAAAAACGTCTTCTGTTTGTGTCAATGCAGTCTTCGTAGCATAAAAAGCCGTCATTTTGTCTATTTGAGTGTACTAAAGGCGTAAACCGTATTCATAGTAATGTTGCATTGTAAGAAAACCACGTGCAAGTTAGTACAAGAGCATGAATTTCGTGATTTGATAAAGTCTATTAACGTTACTTATTCTTAGGGCAAATTTTAGGCAACTATATATGGCTGTGAATGGAAATCCTTGAAGTGGGTTTCCAGAATCATATTCTACAAGAAATGCTCGTAAAGTTCTAGCCTGCAAAATCAAAACCATCTTATGCAATAGTAGCACGTCCAACAAAAACGATTCCAGTTTACTTGGCCTTGGTAGCCGTGTTCAGAGTGACCCAAATCACAGATGGGTGTGCCCATGCAAGAATTTAACCAGGTGCACAAGCCAAAATCAATAAGACTTCAAAAAATGACGACGCTTAAAGAAGGTAGCGTGCGCCTTATAGGTCTCGTGTGGCTAAAAACAATTCAAGCTGACTTTAATATTACCACCTCTTTGGAACAAATAAGATCAATATACTTGGTAGGGATAAAACAACGTTATTTAAAAAATGATAAAACACAACTATTTCTAGGCTCTTACATGTTTCAAATTTTGCATCACAGCAGATTCGGTCTTCAGTTTTTTAATTTCCATATCTTTCTCTAAGACTTTAATCGATAGCATTTTAATGTCATGCTGAAGTTTCCCAATACTGGAGGAGTTTGTCCTTTCTGAATGTTCCGAATCATCATAAGTTCCCAAAATATCCTTAGATGTTTCACAGATTTCAATGGGATCTGTGTCAGATGGACTACTCGATTTCATTAAAGTGTTTCCGATAGTAACACAACAAACTTGTATAAAGCAGTACTAACCCAACGATTAAAACAACTAATTTCTACCTGTCATTTTATCTGATCACTTAATGCAAGTGATGCAGCGAAGTCATTTTTCTGGTAAAGTTATATGACGTCTTTCAACAACAAGGTTGTCACTTTCACAACCCAGAAACGGTTTTTGTGTGCGAACGTAATTGTCACCGCAGGCCTAACAAAAGAAGCTTCTTGTTCCCAAACAACTACAAGGAGTTATTTTGCTGCCGTGTCACAACGCTGACACGCACTGAGCGACACCCCAAGCTCCACGAGCAGATTTGGGGACGCCCACCCAACCCCAGCCTCTCAGGGAAAAGTATTCTACTCATGGCAAAGCAGTACAGCAGAAATGAGGAGTTGCAGAGTTAGGAAACACGAGATAAGTCGTGTTTACCGCGAAACGTTCACAAGGGCAAGGATTACAGGAAGTGAGGGGAACTCTCTACCAAGGGAGGAAAGAATGAGAAAAAAGATACATAATACGGACCGTTTATGCAATCGAATAATGTATTGCCAGAACACAGCCGGAATTTCACTCAACAGCGCTGCTATGTAACTGCATTGAAGCCAACTGACTCTGAATCTAAAGAAAACAAAATTATGGCATTCATCTGGTCACAGCTAAGGAATGGGAATGAATTCGACAGATTTGAGTCCTGAAATCCAGGCTTAGAACCCTAGAGCGCGGTAAATCAATTTATACTAAACGGTAGCATGATGATGCTTTGCAACACTGCAGTAATCAAACAATAAGAACCAGAAGATACGGCGATCTACTGAAGACAGGATCCATACATTATGCTAAATAAACTATTGAATCGAAGAAAAACATATTTTGGAAAGTCAGCAATTAGAATTGCGGAGATTTGCAGGCTTCAACGAAGCTATGTAAAAGTAAGTCAAAGAATCACCATGAACGTACTCGGAGTTCGTTTACTGAAAAAAAAACCAACGAAGTATTAATAGGTATCAAAATAAACAGCGAATGATTCTAGAATTCGGAAGCAACAACGATGAAGCACTTGTTATCAATCCTTCTAAATCTGCTTTTCCCTAAAAGTAGCGAAATAGAGAGCAGGAAGGAAGATTATACCTGAGCAAGATAGGATTGTTGAGCGGAGGAGTTGAGGGCAGAGGTGGGGTTGGCGGCAGCAGTCTGGGAGGAGATCCACTGCTGATGCAAGAACTCTGGACCTCCAGTCGCTGGTGAGATGCCCGAGGTGGTGGCTGCCATTGTGAGCGAATCCATCCACTGCGTTGGAGGCTGCAGATGTGGGAGAGGGGAATGAAGTATTAGCTTCTGGACAACTGTATCCACAGTTGAGTAAAGATTAAAATTGCTATCCTGATGTTACGCGCCACAATCCAGCCCAGGAAACCGTTATTTCGGGAATTAAAAACAATAAAAACGATCGGTAGCATTGCTTCACAAAACACAACGTGAAAGAATTAAGGAACAGTATTAGTAAGCACAATCTGGAAGTGTCGCGACATGTAATGAGCGCGCAGTCAGAAGATAATTAAGATCCATGGCAGACAACGTCAATCACGCACATGGAAGGTAATAGTCAAACTCAGAATAGGTATCACCTAAAAAATCGCCTGACTTTTTCAAGTAAATCCTATGGGAAGTGATAATGGCGCCTACACACAAATTAAAAAATAGAAGATAAACTTATCAGCAACAGTGCCGTTTCACTTCTAATAGTATAAACGAAACACTTTGTGTCACCAACATATAAGCGATGGTGGCATGAGGAACTATTTGACAAAAAGCACCCATTTTGCGGACAGTCACATGTTAATGTAAATACAATTTATATAAACAAAAGTAGACGTATCTCCGAAGAATTTAGCTTAAGTTCATGGAGGCAAAAAACGTCGTGACTAAAACGGTAAAACAGATAGGGGATAAAAACAAAAAGAACAAACATTGGTTGTTTTAGTCTGTGCCAGTCATGTGTCTACATCACACTAACAGTCGGACGGATATGACAACACACCACCCCATCCCAACCCCTCAAAGACAAGCGGATTGCCATATAAAAAGGTCAGAACATGTGAGCTTTGGTAAAATAGCATACCGGTGACGTGTACTGTGACACGCCATTCTGGAAAAAATCCAGACCAATGAGGTCTGAAGAAGTGGGTGCCTTCTCAGTCTGAACTAAATTCCGGTCAAAGACAATCGGCGAGACTGGAGGTGGGTACATAGGAGGTGATTGGTTGAATGAAGCAGACACACCGAACATCGAAGCCATGGACGCTCTGTTCTGAACTGTAAATAAGAAAACATTCACTTCTAGTACATTCAAAGCAGAACGAAAGGAATACAGACCCCAAGACAACGAGAGGAGGACTTTCGAAAAACTTTACGAGGGTTCCAGATAAAGTCGCCGAGATGATCTCAGTTCCTAAGTCACAAAATCCATAGATTGAATTTAGCATGTAAAATATCATCCAAAACTGCATCGTATTACTGCCTACTACACGAAAAAGCAATGATTCACAGGTAGTAGTTCATATGATGAACTGTAATAGCACGATATTTTCTACGATGGCCTAATGAGGAATAGGTTTTAACTGTTTTGGGAAATAACTACGCAACAAAATGGGATAAATGGAGTGAACGTAGTGGTACAGCCCAGGATCAATTAAAATCACATTCAAATGTACTGACAACGCCTCCAATTCGCTTGAAGCACCTTGAAAACTGACCATTTGGATGAACCAGGCTCGGTGAGAGGAGTCCGCCACCCGCACCAACGGGTTTGGAGAGGGCGTAGAGGGCGAGAATAGACTCCTTGGTAGGGCGCTGCCCCTCAACGCTGCCCATCTCTCCCGTCGGAGGCTGAGATACCTCACCGAAGTTGATCCCAACGAGGTCTGCACTGAAAGCGCCGGACTGAAAAGACCATCGTATAACAGTGGGGGTAATGCGCTATCCATTGTTTTAACCTATTAAAACCTATTTTACCGCGGAAAATAGTGTTATAGTGCGATAATGGATTTGCAGTTTCCATCACTTAAAACGGAGGAATTCATTTCATATTTGTGATGGACTAGCTTTAAATTCCTGTTTAAGATGCTAGACGTGCCAAAGCTTTGCCCCAGATACTTAACTAAAATCATTGCATGAGAAACTGAATTTTCGACGGCAGTCAATGCCCATTGTGAATTTTTGGGTCAGCATATCCAGCGCCATAAGGCGCTAAACTGATCCACGGCGTCAGCACCTGACGAAAGCCACTGGTGGAATCGACAATGGGCTCCACCTGAATATCCTATTCTAGCAGGTATCAAGACGCCTAAAAATGACCAATTTTTGCGTGGGCAATGGCTGATTGGAAATGCATTAAAAAATTTCATGAACCTGGCTGTGCGTAATGTATCGAGTTTTGGTAGAACTACTTCTTAGCTAAAGTGGACTGTTAATACCAAGCTCCAATAACAAAAAAGGCATTTAAAAATAAGGTACAGCCGAAACGGTAAATAAAAACCTACTCAATCAATATAGAGAAGTAGTCTAGCGGTCAAGATAGTGGAAGGCTTTTAAAGTCTGATGCAAGATCGCTCCTGCATTTACTAAAATGCAGGCAATGCGGTCAGTATTTGGTCGAGACCAATGAAATGCCTTACATATGCGGCGAAAATAAAAAGTGGGAAAGGTTCCATCGAAACAGAACAAACATAGTCTTCCTTAATCCAGGTGTAAATGGGGCCAAGATAAAGTGGGTATAACGGAAGGTTTTGGTTACACAATTTGGACCCTTTAAAGGAAAGTCAGGTTTGATTTTCACAACTACAGAATAATAAAACACCCACGCAAGGAATGCGTGGCAGATATCTAATGAGACAACGTTTGGCAACATTTCACCATGCACCAGAGTAGGCAGTCTCGGAGCGACGGGCAATGGAATGGAAATTTTGCCCTTGTGTAGTCGGGCATTACTGCTATTTGATGAGCCAGCAGCAGTGCGTACCTGATGCACATTCAAGTGAATCCCTTGCATTAAAAAAGAGAAAATGGTTTCAAGCATTGTAAAAAATGATGGCCTTGAGAAAATGAATGACCTCAGAGCACTACTATAATCGCTTAAAGGAGCAATTAATCTGTTTTTGCACTTTTAGCAACGTAGCCATAAAAACATTGGTAAATACATTACATCGTTACAAATACTGTCCGAATGACAAAAAAGTTATCTCGACTAGCCCAAAGCATTCGAATCAGGGAATGTAATTGAAAAATGGGTTCACCGGCTCAAAATCAGAAGTATCACGAAACAAAACCTCATGACCGTTACGACCAAGCCAAATACATCACCCGAAGTCGCATGCACGGGTTGTCCGTACTTGAGTGTGACACAAGATCTACTGAAAGACTTAAAGAAACATTTGGCGGAACACACCGAAGCCGATAAAGCGAGGATTCAGTATGTCGGTAAAAGAGTGACATGATGACAGCTAAAAAAAACGATGAAACGATAAAGATGTGCAGGTCCGTAGATTGCCCACATGCGTCAACAGTGGCTTTCAGTGAAGCCAGGAAAAATCCAACGCCACACGAAACTGTTAAATTACAAAGAAGGCTCAAAAGTAGCTGAGGATTTTGCAAGGTACGAACATGCAAATCTAATTGGTGTTAAAAGTAAAAAAAAAAAAAGATTCAAATGGCTTTTGAAAGTAGCGTTAGTCTTAATAACGCTGCACTTGAACAGTGCGTCCGCCAACGTAGGAATTGGTCCTCCACCATTCAAGCATTGAAACCTTCAGATGGCTGTGTTTAAACTAGGTTGATAAATACTTTGACCGCACTTGGACCTACATGCGTTTTTTGGGAAAGGGGGGTTTTTAGCGTCAGCGTAAAAACAAAACCTTTTTAAGAAATATTTCAAACCTACCTCCAATTCTGACTTCTGGTTAGCCTGCTGGAAGGCCTCCGAATGTTTTGTTGGAATTTTCGAAGCAGAGGATTTATCATCATCCTTGCCAGCCACGGGCGACGAAAGACCCAAAATATCAGCCGTTACACCGTCAGTATTGCCACCGGTGCTTTTCGCAATTGACTATTTAATATGAATTAGGGGTGAGCAATGCGATGGAACGAGCGACAAAAGTAATACTCAATCAACGCAGTCCCACATTGAGGGTAGCATAAAAGGCACGTTTTCCTTTTGATCATTAAAGCTATAATGAACCAGGATGAGGATAACAAAAGCATTTGGAAAGTAAAGAGATGTAAGAGTTACAAGTGTACCTTAAGTGTCCGACTCTGGGTCTTTGACGAATCACTGTTCTGAAGAGGTAAGTTGACGGACCTAGCACTAACTGCTTTTCGTTTACTCTGTTGCTCCAGCCGCAAGAGATCCTATTGAGGACGTTTTAATGAAATGTACAGATACCGAACCAAAACTGCTAAAAATGGCACTCAGCTATTGCCAGGCAAATGTGCACACACTAATAAACTGTTCGGCGCTAAATAATACCATAACAAAAGCTTTTCCGAAAGAAAACAAAGAAGCATTATAAAGGTGTGACAATGTAGTGACACGTGCCATATGCAGAAACATATACACAAAGACATGTGCTTGCGCAGTTTGTAATACCTTTTTCACAGATTCCATGTCAGGTTTTGGAGGAACAAAGTCTGAAGCAACGTATCTTTTTTGCTCATATTTGGCCCGAATAAATTGTTCAAGTGCTGAATCTGTTTGAGGCCGACGAAAGAACTCCGGAAGGCTTGCCTCATAGAGCTCCCGAGCACGTCGATTGCCAACAGCCTTAAGCATCTACAAGGAACTAGATAATCCACACAATAATTAGCTCACGGCGACTTGTTGGGGTTCCCACGAGTCCAGATTAAGTGACTTGACCTTGGATATATGAACACCTAAGCCCCGGTGAATTCCTGCGCACCGGATACAGAGAAGAACTCCTAGATTCCAGGAAGCCCAACGTGGACCTAATTCGTAAGGCCATGTGAAAGTATCATACCTTTAGCATCACAATCTGCACAGTACCTGTTTTCTTCATCCTTGACAAGATCAGCAATTATGAGTTGAAGACGCTCATTCTGCTGCTTCTCCCCCTGCCGCGGCATAGACATCAGAACTATTCGTAAAATGTGCGGTTAAATCAAACCAGGCCCTATCATCCTGTCAAGAAAAACAAAATTTTTCATTTGAGAACAAGAAAATGCTTATTTTTTGTATGATTAAATTTTATTTACCAACATGCACGTAGCATGAGGACTTGCTGAGTCAACGACTAATTTTGGCGACCTAAATTATTTCGCAATCGTCAAATCCAATGTGTTTATGTGAACTCACAATAATAACCACTTGGTATGGGTTTGGCTACTAAGTCTTGGGTAGTTGTTTGAAAATATAATAGAGTTTTCATAGTGCAACTTCACCCACTGACTACTGCGTATGTATTTGCGTTAAATGCTTTTTGTATTAAATGCTA